ACGCCACTAAAACATAGGAGGCCCCCTGCAGCCGTATGGATAGTAAGGCTCTGGGGTAAAGGGAAACCTATTTTTTAAACTAGAACCTCTCCGATTAAGTTTAGAATGATGCAAAACTAAATTAAAATTTATCAAAAATTTTCTGGGCACTAAAACATATTTAAGGGGCGACACTTAGGTAGGACAACAAGTATACCCTCAAGAGCAATCTGGAATGAGTTTAGTTCATGTAGGGCTGGGGTGGAGTTGGAGATGTACCTGTTTTTTATGGCTATTTAGAGCGCTTCCCACCAGGTGTTCAAAATGACCGCTTCCAAACTGTCTTAAAAGAAACATTAAATTATTAAATTGTGCACCAAAATCCATCCCCCCATTTTGAAGTAATCAGAATGTCTCTATGAGGAACCCTGTCCAAATCCATCCCCCCATTTTGAAGTAATCAGAATGTCTCTATGAGGAACCCTGTCCAAATCCATCCCCCCATTTTGAAGTAATCAGAATGTCTCTATGAGGAACCCTGTCCAAATCCATCCCTCCATTTTGAAGTAATCAGAATGTCTCTATGAGTAACCCTGTCCAAATCCATCCCCCCATTTTGAAGTAATCAGAATGTCTCTATGAGGAACCCTGTCCAAATCCATCCCTCCATTTTGAAGTAATCAGAATGTCTCTATGAGGAACCTTGTCCAAATCCATCCCTCCATTTTGAAGTAATCAGAATGTCTCTATGAGGAACCCTGTCCAAATCCATCCCTCCATTTTGAAGTAATCAGAATGTCTCTATGAGGAACCCTGTCCAAATCCATCCCCCCATTTTGAAGTAATCAGAATGTCTCTATGAGGAACCCTGTCCAAATCCATCCCCCCATTTTGAAGTAATCAGAATGTCTCTATGAGGAACCCTGTCCAAATCCATCCCTCCATTTTGAAGTAATCAGAATGTCTCTATGAGGAACCCTGTCCAAATCCATCCCTCCATTTTGAAGTAATCAGAATGTCTCTATGAGGAACCCTGTCCAAATCCATCCCTCCATTTTGAAGTAATCATAATGTCTCTATGAGGAACCCTGTCCAAATCCATCCCTCCATTTTGAAGTAATCAGAATGTCTCTATGAGGAACCCTGTCCAAATTTTGCTTGAGAGATTTTATGGAATCCTCAATTTCTGCTCACTGCTTCGATCACACCAATCAAAATGACAGTACGGGGTTGAATCGAAGCTTGGCTAATGTGTTTGATACCAGGGGACAAGATTCACTGCTACTCATATCTGAAACCCATTATCTTCATCAACTAAATACTATCTGGTGCCTGAGGACATCCGTCCTCTCTGCTCCCCTAGCAACATCTCTGGCCACTGACACTACCCCCCCCCCGCCCCCTGACGAAACTCCAAAAACGCCACTCAGGAAAACGGTCTGAAAGAAATACTGTTTATATCTTCACAGACAATGTCAACTAATAAAAAGTAAAATTGTCTGAAAGAAGCACTGTAATTTAGACGACGTGTTAACGTCATATTTCCCCATGCTGTGAACTCTAGCAGACGCTGCACTATTATTAGAATGTGGCTTACTAAGTAAGTAAAGTCTTCAATTTAATCTCGGTGACAATCAATAGTCTGTTTATTCTTAAAACATTGTAGAAATTTGTGGAAGATTTGAGTCACGATTACTATGTGTATTCTGTTCCCAGATTCTTAGAAATATCCCATACCAGTATAAAAGCAGAGAAATTGGACGACATAGGGCAGAATAAGAGCATTTTATCACGAGATTTTTTATTTTTATTTTACGGGATGACAGCCGAGAGTTATTATTCTTGCTAGAGTTTTGTTGACTTATATGTGCGAATTCCTATTCATTGTCGTACTACTTTTTTTTGGCACATTGTATATCATCAATCATGTACCGGTACAAGCAAAACAGTACTCCGTAAGTTAATGATTTTAATTGTATTTCTTTTATTTTTTAATTAATGAGTAACTTAATAAATCTTATTAATTGTAGTTAGCCCTGTTATGAGTGTCGTATTCTCTGTTAATGTTTTTATTATTTTGGTATCATCTTTTGTTATGCACAGTTTTGGACCGAGCCATACATGTAAATAGGAGATTAATTTCTCCGTATTGACAACGGTGCGTAAAAAAACACTTTTTATATCTGCATACACAATGTAAAATAATAAAAAGTAAAATGCTAAGCTGCAATTTCAGTTGATGTATCATTTGCATATGACATGAGATTTGATTGTGTATCCAAATAAATGTAAATGTTTTGTTTACATGATATATATTCATTTTCAGCACAAAGTTTTTTTGTTTTTTTTAAATCAGCTCAAAAGTCAGCAATCATATATCGTAATACATCCATCGCTTAGTGAAAGAATCGACTTAAATACTGATTGACTGATTGAATAATTTTATAACAGTCGGAGGAACAAGAGGGAACAATCACAAGATACTTTCTGAGGGAAACCCAAAACACACAACCAAGTGACACTTTCTACAATCAACCCTTTCAGTATCTTGCATATGCTGATGATATAGCACTGTTAGGGACAAGTAGTATAGATATCAAAAGCTTTTTTGATCATTAGAAGACGCATCGGTAGCAAGGAGGGCTGGAAGTTATCAACCAAAAAACCATGACTGCGATAAGAACAGAACGGACGGGTGAAACCGTTGACATTAGAAAACACAACTTTGAACAATTAACTAGTATCCTAAATAAATGAAAGATATGACTTACTAACAGAAATAAGAGACAAATATGGACCAGAAAAAGGGGGATTACTTAAGCATTAAAAAAATACTCAAAAAGAAAAACATTACTATAAAAACAAATGAAACAATATATAAAATCAGACCACATATAACATACGCAAGTGAAAGTTGGACCCCAAAAAAACAGCAGACAAAATATTTAACATGTGGGACGGAAAAGTTATCCGTACAAACAATTGTTGAATATGGACAGAGAATACCGACCATTCAAGAATTATAGGGACAATGTCAGGATACCATGCTAGTAGCAGAAATAAAAAAAAGGATAGGTTGTTATGGGTGCGACACTTAGAAAGAATGCGAAATCATAGATGAGTGAAGTGGACGCACCACCAAAACCCATAGGAAAACAATTCAAAGGCAGACCTAAGATTGTATTAATAGATGATTTGGAAAAAGATCTAAAGCTGCTGGGAATAATAATAATAATAATAATAATAAGTGGTCTTATATAGCGCGGTACCCCGGCCTAGGGCTGGGCTCACCGCGCTGTACATATATAGCAAAGAGGCATAATCATAATATTAAAATAAAATACATAAATGAAATAAAAACAACATATAAGCAAAACAACACCATAGGTCTATTCATCCACCCACACCAGACATTTTTACAAGGAAACCCATGTACGTTTATCGGTTTATAGGAGGAGAATCCAATCATTGAAAATAAATCATCACTTAGGTCTGAAAGGAAGGAAGGGGTGAAGCAGGCCAAAGTCGTACATGGGCTGTGGGACCACGCGGGTGATGAAGGAGTACGAGGACAACCCTACAGCTTGGGGAATGCATCAATTTATAGATATTCAGTAACTGAACTCAGTCTGTTCGAGCTGATCTCAATAACGATGATAAAGCGGTTGGGATTTATCCTCCAATTAGTTGTTGTTGTTTTTTTTTTGAAATGCAAGTAACTTCAAATAGCTTCAAATACCTTTTCATACGAAGATATTATTTTCGAGTTATTGTGATATTACTAAGTTTGTTGACACGTCTATTTAATAGTTGGTGATGATCAACGATTACTTCGCACCCTAGCAGGTCACATTGAGTGAGGTTCAGAAGCCTTCAAAATAGTCCACTTTGGAAGCACTATTAAAAAATCTATAATGTATGTGTGCATGGATGGATATACGCTGTGTTTGATAGGGTAATTTATGTGTGCATGGATGGATGGAGATACGCTGTGTTTAATAGGGGCGCACAATAAAATTCCAAGAAGTATTCTCATCAAACGCGTCACTTGTTGGCGTGTTTTCCCAAGAAACTTTCGTAGATGGGAAGTTCGCGCATTGCCGCTGCTATTGTTTGCGGATATATTTCTAGCAAGTTAATTATTTGTAGCGCCCAAGTTGAAAAACATTTCAAAACAGAAAAAAAATAATTTTTAGACATGTACATGGTAATTAATAATAAATGTAAAAGAAGAAATAATTTCCTCCTTTTTCTTAACTTTTTAAATCGTACCTTATTTTATTTAGTTTATCATATCAATTCAAACTTAAAGGAAGAACATATTCACTGTATGGAGTGAGGTGCTAAGTTCTTTTGCTCACTAACTACATGCGATGGAGATACTATTCCCTTTTGATGGAACTTAGATGTTGACTCTTCATTTAACTTTTAAAATTTAAAAATTATTTCAAAAATTTGTACTGCATGAGATTACTACCGATATTATGTTTTAATTTGATTTTTTTTTTTTCAGACGAGACAACAAACTTTTAAATGAATGTCGATCATCTTAGCATAATCCGATCCGAGTCTTCAGTTACATAAGAAAAGGATATTGCTATTTTAAGAATCTTAGCAATTTCATAGTGTGTAATGAAAGCTCTGTCTTCAATGTTGTTCTATACTTAGAACATCTTGTTAGGGTTTTTTTAAAGTAAATAAGCAAGTATATGTAAAAAATGTGTTGATATTTTTCCATCTAAGAAATAGGGAAAAGAAATCCCAGCCAAATCACGAACGAAGTAGACTAATAAATTATTATTTTCGTAGTAATACATATCTCCCGCCTTCCCCTTTTCATTTAAGCTTTCAAGGTCTTGGAAGAACGACTCAAGATGAACAACACAAATTTCACGGACGTCCAAGGCAATACAACACTTTACTCCGTCCATGCCGTTTCGAGTACAGATAATTTTTACTACACATTCTTTACGGCTCAATTTGAGATCGCTTATCGTGTCTGTTCCAGCTCAATCACATTCATTCTTGGCATAGTTGGCATTCTAGCAAACGTTTTGAATATTTTGGTACTGTTTCGCCACAGCTTAAATGATTCCATCAGCGTTGTCCTGTTTGGCACAGCTGTGTCAGACTTGATATATTCATTGAATGAAACTTTGAACAGACTTATTGCAATTATTGGTGAAGTTTTCGGCTATGATCTTACCTTTGACGCTTTCTCCTTCTTTTATGTTTATTTGCGCTATATCAGTCCATGCGCCATAACCATCAGCGCTTGGCTGGTGGCTCTCGTCTCCATGGAGAGGATGTTCGCTGTTTGTTTTCCATTCCATGCTTCAAGAATTATCACCGTTAAACGTATGACATTTATGGTTCTGTTCGTATATGTTTTTTTGGTTTTTTTAAACAGCCCAGCGATATTCGATCATTATCTAACGAGTTTTTTCTATCCTGTTAGTAACTACACTGGAGAAGCTATGCTTGAAAGGAAATTTTTCATGGACAATCCATGGTTTGAGACTTTTTTTTACAATGAGGTCCTACCGGTCGTAGGCTCACCACTTCCCATGATAGCTATTCTTGTTTTCACACTTGCAACAATCATACGGCTCGGGGTGTCCTCCAAGACTATTGGTAACATGTCAACCTCACGAGCCAAGCGCGCCAAGGAAATGACATCTATCAAAATATCTCTAGCTATCAGCTGCTCTATGGTTTTGTTGATTTTTATGCCTAGAGCCGGTCTTGATGCTTATTATAAGATTATGGATCGGAGCTTACTACCACATGTATGGGCATTCTACAATGAACTCACGGAACTAGCTCGCCAATTGAACGCGACCATAAATTTTTTTATATATGTGGCGTTCAGTTCAAAGTTCCAGAAAACATTTTTAAAAGTGATACAATGCAAGTACGGCAATTGAAAGGATTCTCTAAAATCTGTGTAATAATTTACAAAGAAAAAAAATGTCATTAACATGTTATTTTTATTTTTAAATATTCATATTTGACGGCGATTATTTATGTATCTTTTCAAACAATGAAAATTAAGTTTGAATTTAGGTCAAACCTGTAGAGTTGGGTAGGTCAGTAATTATCAAGACATCAGATTATCCGGGAAATCATTAGGAAAAAACTGATTTTCTGGCGGAAAATTATCCGACGGACATTTTTTAACGTAAATTTAGTCCCACGAAAATTTAGTGCAAAGAAAATTTAGTCAAACGGTAATTTAGTCCAATGGAAATTAGTACAACGAAAATTTAGTCCAACGAAAAAATTTCCAACGTAAATTTAGTCCAAAGAAAATGTATCCCAACGAAAATGTATTCCAACATAATCATTGCAAAAAAAAAAAACACATTAAACTATCTGAAATCCCATTTTGTAAACAGTTACCTACAGAAAGATTTGCAAGGCTTTTTCAGTGAACTTTATCATTTCTCTTGGGAGGACACTTTTCTTTGTTCAAAATCGTGAGATAGCATTTTTCCCCTTTGTATTTATTAATATTTTGTCTGTCATTGCAGTAGTCTTCCCCCACTCTCAAACAACCCCCCCCCCCACTTTCTGTTGGTCTTGTGGTGAAATCGGTGTTGCAAGTTGAGTCCCTCCTCTGTTATCCTCTTTGTTTCATTATAAATGTGAGTATGCCTAATAAAAACTTTTGTTATGCTAGAGACGTGCGTTACTATTTTGGGCTGTCCTCTATCTATGTCTATAAAAACAACTACACGTAAATTTTTATTAATTTTATTAGGGGTTTTATATAGCGAAATACCCCAGTCCAGGGCTGGGCTCACCACGCTGAACATACAATTTAACAAACATAATCAACTTAAACAATTAATTAACATACATTAATTGCACAAAACAAAAGAAACGTGTATTCACTCCATTCATTCCAGAACTATTGACATGTCAACCCAGGGACGGCACCCAGTAGCATCTTTATCGGTCGAAAAAAAAAGGGAGGAGGGGGGGGGGAGAAATCAGTCAGGATAGTAGAGTTTAAAGAGATGTTTTTGAAAGCATTTTTGAAGGCTGTGATGGTCGGTATATTGCGGATGCATAATGAAGAGAATTGTTTGTTTGGGGGCAAAGAAATAAAAAGATCATTCCCCTTATGTTTTTGTGCGAGTCTTGGGGATATAAAGAATACGCGTGTCTGCGGAGGAGCGAAGCTGTCCAAGAGATGAATAGACAAAGAGAAGTTTTGTTAGATAGGAAGGGCAGGAATGCGAGAAAAAAAATTTGGCAGAGAACAAAGAGTTTGTAGTCAATCCGTGCTTATACAGGGAACCAATGAAGTCAATGATTTAGTGGTGTTATGTGATGAAATTATGCATAGAACTCAGCTAGCAGAAAAAAAACACAACAATTTTGTACTGCGTATGCCTGATGTGGTTGCGATCAGTTTTGGATGAACCCTAAGGCTAATGTGTGGTTATTGCCTAACGGTCCTGCAAGTGGATATACATTAAAACAGTTGGCATGTGTTTGATGTGGCGGTAGAAATTATTTAAGTACATGCTGCCCGGAGAGGGCGCCCTAGCACACATTGATTTGTGTAATAAAAGCCATTTAAATTAACCATAAAGAGCTGTTCGGGACTTTCGTTCCGTTGTATCCCTTAGATACGCTACTTTAGGAGACAACGTTTGGAATTACAGGTTTTTATCTGGCATTGGATACGATGGAGTTGGTCAATATTTACTTAACCATTTTTTTTCTGTACCATTACATGCAACAATTTTTGTGAGTTTTTATTTTACTTTTTAGATTTTGTATAAAATCAAAAACATTAATTATACAAAATCTAATTGTATAATTAATGTTTTTGATTTTATACAAAATATCAAGAATCTATAAATAATCGTTAACTTTTCATTTCGTCAGCTTTGTTATCATTTATTTTGTGATTCCTCAAATCTTTGTTTTATTTCAGTCTGTCTACGTACTGTTTTATCTCAGTCTGTCCTACATACTGTTTTATTTCAGTTTGTCCTACATACTGTTTTATTTAAGTCTGTCCTACATACTGTTTTCTTTAAGTCTGTCCTACATACTGTTTTTTTTCAGTCTGTCTTACATACTGTTTTACTTCAGTCGGTCCTACATAGTTTTAGTTCAGTCTGTCCTACATACTGTTTTCTTTAAGTCTGTCCTACATACTGTTTTATTTCAGTCTGTCCCACATACTGTTTTATTTAATTCTGTCCTACATACGGTTTTATTTCAGTCTGTCCTACATACTGTTTTATTTAAGTCTGTCCTACATACTGTTTTATTTAATTCTGTCCTACATACGGTTTTATTTAATTCTGTCCTACATACGGTTTTATTTCAGTCTGTCCTACATACTGTTTTATTTAATTCTGTCCTACATACTGTTTTATTTAATTCTGTCCTACATACTGTTTTATTTCAGTCTGTCCTACATACTGTTTTATTTCAGTCTGTCCTACATACTGTTTTATTTAATTCTGTCCTACATACGGTTTTATTTCAGTCTGTCCTACATACTGTTTTATTTAAGTCTGTCCTACATACGGTTTTATTTCAGTCTGTCCTACATACTGTTTTATTTAAGTCTGTCTTACATACTGTTTTATTTAAGTCTGTCCTACATACTGTTTTATTTAAGTCTGCCCTACATACTGTTTTACTTCAGTCAGTCCTACATACTGTTTTATTTGAGTCTGTCCTACATACTGTTTTAAATAAGTCTGTCCTACATGCTGTTTTATTTAAGTCTGTCCTACATACTGTTTTATTTCAGTCTGTCCTACATACTGTTTTATTTAATTCTGTCCTACATACGGTTTTATTTCAGTCTGTCCTACATACTGTTTTATTTAAGTCTGTCCTACATATTGTTTTATTTGAGTCTGTCGTACATACTATTTTATTTAAGTCTGCCAAAGTAATGTTTATATTATTCTAAACTACGCACTGTTAAAAATTAATATGTCAGACATGCTGTTTTTTTTAAAATCTGTCTTAAATTTCTTTTATTGACGTCTGTCCTACGTACCTTTGTATCAACGATATATTGACTTTTAAAAAATGATAGTTCTCTACTTTTAATCCTGTACGCATAATTAAATATTATGTAAAATTTAAATTAAACTCATGGCATTTCTTGTTTTTTGTTAATGATGAAGGCTTAATGCTGTAAAATATGTTTTTGTTTTTATATTGTAGTTTTTTTATATAAAGCTTACATATGCTTGCTGTTTTACATAGTCAGTCAGTCGTGTACAGTTGAGACGCACCCCCTTTTACACTACAGATTTATTACACCATTTCAGAAAAACAAAAGAAAATACTCCGCATTTGCAATATTTCTTTTTTTACATTTTAGAATCTCATTTAGCGCAGTTTTCAGGAATTTTATTTCGTGAATCCATGCCATCTTATTTCTTTCATCTTTCCTTTGAAAAAAAAAAAAAAAAAAAATTAATTTTTTTTTTTTTTTTTTTTTTTTTTTTTTTTTTTTTTTAAAGTTTGGGCTGAACATTTGAAATAAGGATGTTTGCAACAGTTTTCAGGTAATAAAGAAAGTGTTCTTCTGAGCACGTATCAGGTAATCTAGAAAGTTTTATTCTAACAACATTTTAGTCATTATACAGACACTGTTCTTCTAACAAAATGTTACTCCTTATGTAGACATTGTTCTTTGAACAACCTTTTAGTTAATATATAGAATTATAAAGAGTTTTCCTCCAACAACATTTCAGATAATGTAGAAAGTGTTCTTTGAACAACCTTTTATTTAATTTAAATAATTATAGAAAGTGTTCCTCGAACAAAATTTCAGGTGATGTAGAAAGTGTTCTTTGAACAATCTTTCAGTTAATATATAGAATTATAGAAAGTGTTCCTCGAACAACATTTCAGGTGATGTAGAAAGTGTTCTTTTAACAGCGTTATCTGAAGCTGACTTTTTAAAAATTATTTTTTTGCAGGGGATGGGTTGGGGTGGGGGAGGGGGTCTTTAATTACAATCGATTGAAATATTATTTTTTTCGACTTAAAAAAAATTATTGTTTTAAAATAAAATAGTATTGAATCAAAATCCTTTATGTTTTTTTCTTTTTTTTTCTTCAATTTTTGTTTCGAATGTAAATATTATATTTTTATCGACGTATTTACAGCTGCATAAACAATGTCAAATTATAGAAAGCAAACTATTGCTGTGTTGTTCAATGATTTTATCATCTCCGGGTTGTTGTTGTTTTTAGATTTAAAGATATTATAATAATAAATTTGCCTAAAGATGAGAAATACATTGAAAAGTAATTTGAACAAAAAATTATAGCCTATAGCAAAATTTTATTGTAAGACATTGAAATCAATTCTCAAGCTCAAAAATAAGTTATTATGTATCGTGAAAACTCGATCTTTTACTGAAAAAAAATCGACTTAAGTAGTAAGTATTTGATTTTATACCAGAGGGGGGGGGGGGCAATCACAAGATAATTCACAACGTAAGGCCACGACCCACAGCCCACATCTAATATGCATTTTCTACAATCAGTCCCTTCAGGCCTATCTTGCATATGCTGATAACATAGACTACGTAGCACTGTTACGCAAATGCAGTGCAGAAACATCAAACGCTTTTTTAGAATTAGAAGACGCATCATTACAGGCAGGGCTAGAAGTTGACAAACAAAAAAAAAAAAAAAAAAAAAAAAAAAAAAAAAAAAAAAAAAAAAAAAAAAAAAAAAAAAAAAATAAAAATAAAAAAAAACACAAATTAAAAAAAAAAAAAAAAAAAAAAAAAAAAAAAAAAAAAAAAAAAAAGAAAGAAAATGCATAAACAACAGAAGAACAGGAGGATGAAACCATTAAATTTAGAAACAACGCCTATTTAAAAAAACTAAGTCAATTCAAATATCCTTAATAAAGGGGGAAA